GAATCTATCAGCAACTGAGGACTGGGTGAGTTCAAGAACCTATGAAAGCCTAGGATATGATTAAGTGGGTTAGTAGTGAGGATTAGTGAGACTTGGGTGCACCAGTTTGAGGAAGTGACTTGGAGGATTCAGGAGCATTGCTTAAGAAAGTATGGATATGTGTGGAAGGTAGTTTTGGGCCCGTACTACTGAAAGCACAGGATCCATATTCGAATCAGTGAGAGTCTTGGAGAATCTGAGAAGCTTCGAGGAGAAGTTTGTGACCCGATTTAGGGACAGAGGATATTCCAGTTGTTGCAGCTTAGCCATTAGCAAGCGAGCTAGTGAGCATGGAAGGGTGTCAAACCCAGAAGGATATGATTTCCAAGAGGTTGCAGATGTGAGATCAATTTAGAGCACTTTGAGAAGAGAGGTTCGCGCTAGGTGCGTATAGTAGAAGATCCCGAGAAGAAACCCATGACTTCTGATCACCGGGTGAAAGGCCAGCAGGGCCGAAGTCAGTGCAGCACGTATAAAAAAGTGCACAAGGGAGTTTGACATTCCAAGGGTTTAGGCTGCTACAAGTGTAGCGGGGTCAGTTTTGTCAGCAGAAGCTGATCAGGATTCCTCCACATGTTGCGGGTATATCATCTTCTACTACTATTAGGTGGATGTTGGGTATATGTATCGCTTTGGAATTGTGAGAGACTTTGGATAAGTTAGATCTTGGGTCGATTTTCTGCTAGTGTTTGGGTTATCAAGTATCATATATGCCATCCTGCATGCCGAAAAGTCCTTGATGAACCCATAGATGGACACATCTTGCGGAGTGGGTTTCGCGTGTACCGTTATCATTCCGGATCTTTGTCAATATATATTGGTTTACGCTTTGGTGGAAATACATGTTGAATTATTGGATTTGTGGATTCAGATTATGCTGGTGATCTGGATAGATTTCGATCTACTATTGGTTATGTGTTCAAAATACATGGCGCTCCAGTTAGTTGGTGATCAATGCAACAAGCAAAAGTGGCACTTTCTACTATAAAGGTTGAGTACATGGCTATAACAAAGGGTGTAGAGGAAGCAATGTGGTTGTGTGGTTTTTTTAGATGATTTGGTGTTTTGAGCAAGATTGAGTAGACTTGTGGTGTGATAGTCAAAGTGAAATTAACTTAGCTAATTAGCAAGTTTATCATGCTCGTACCAAACATATAAATGTAAGATATCATTTTGTGTAGGATGTCATAGAGGATGATGATATTTCTCTTATAAAGGTGCATACATATAAGAACCCATCAGACATGTTAACCAAGGTGGTATTAGGTGGCAAGTTTAAGCATTGCTTGAATTTGCTCAATATTAATCAGTGTTGATCGCCCTCGAGGGCAATGGCCTTGCAGGGAGGGTCAGGGTAAGGTGGAGTTATCACCCAGTAAAGTGAACTACGGTGGCTTAATCCCAGGTGAGGGTACGTAGGCAACCATGGTTAAATGGTGCAGCCGGATTGAGTTTTACATTTCAAGGTGTGCAATTTTTCTTCTTTGTTATATGGTCCAAAATTTGAGGTGTATTAAATGTTGTTCGAGGTGGAGAATTGTTGGTAGTGAGCTCAAGTGGTCTATCTAGTAACCTTGAGACAACTCATGTGAGCTTGAGATAGCCCTACCCAGTAACTTAAGTTATGACCCAAAGTTAAAAATTTCATCCTTATTTGTTATGTAATTCTCAATGAAGAGAGGTAGGGTTAGAGTATGTGAGAGGAACATCACGTATTGTGGAGGGAAAAGTGAGGTGAATTGCTTAACCTAATACAAAAGACTCTCTCTTCTGGTGTGGAAGTAGGTAAATTTGTTGAACCACGTAAATCTCTTGTTTCTTTCTCTATTTACTTTCATTGTTTGGTTGTTGTCATTGCTTGATTTTAGATCCAAATGGCAAAAACAGGAATCTAAGTTACACAAGGTTAGTTGATGTTTTTCGTTCGATTTTTGCATTGTTTTTGCCGGAACAACACCGATCTAAATCAATATTACAACCTTATAGAGGTGACAAAAAAGGTATCAAACCGGTCCCAAGCGGTTTCCGGAACGATCCAATTTTTTAGGCGCCTGTCATTTTTTTATGATCAGTCTTTTTTCGGTCTTTTCTTTTTCGGACAACTCTTTTTTGATTTGGCTTTGTTCTAAACCAATTCAGTCTTGTATTCTTTGCATTTGCATTTTTTAATTCAGATTCGTGTTTCTGTTTTTTTATGTGTGATCATCTTAATAACATATAAAATTTGACTCCCACGTAAGAAAACAATATGCAACATGTTTGTTTCAATTAATTAATTTCATGCAGAGTAGGGTTTAATCAGGGGCATTATAAACAAACTTCACCTTGAGACTAAATCTATCTTCAGCAACATAAACCAATTCAACTTTTAACAGGAAGTAAAAAAAATATATGTCACACCATTAATTAGGAGGGTTTTTCGTGTTATTATGGGTCTTTCTTAATCCTATACATTTTAGGATTCTCCACGTAAGGCTATAAATAAAGTCAGTATGATGTTTTATTTATTTATTTCATTAACCTTTTCTTCTCCTTCAATGCATCAACATTTCAAGTTTCTTGTACACCCCTTCTTTTTAAAGTTTATTAAGTTCAACAAGTGTCATATATAGTGGTTTTCCTCTTTTCTGAGTTTCCACTTTATATCTTTGTGTTCATCGGTTGTTCTTGAGTTTAATATTTTACAACAAGATAACATTTAAGATTAATTAAGCCAATGATTACCTTGTAAAACTGTAGGTTTGGATATGAGTACATGGATAATTACTAAATTATCCATCACTCTTATTTTATATTTATATCTAAGATAGTTTTTCAAGTTTCTCCTAGCAGAATCATCGGTTCAGCAACACACGTAAAAATATATAATTACGCTATTCTCTCTGAAGTTCCAGTGGGGTACATCGCACATACAGCTAGCTTAACACCCACAGAGATTCAGCCCAATAGTCTAAAAACGGCTCATGTTCTCAACATTTTCTACGGATTAACAGGAGTACAGGACCCAAGCCCAGCAGGGAAGGGAGGGTACCACAAACGAAGATTTATGATAGGGTATTGCAGTACCCTGCCACGTGTCGAATAGTCATGGTTGGTTAATGATAAGACATTCCATCCTTTCAAAACGTTTATGTGGACATGATGCATGTAATGTCATCCGCCACATGATCCAATGGTCACTACTACCTTAGAGCCAAGATAGATTTGTTTTTCTCCGTTAGATGGCAAACAGCATTATATATACCTATAGACCAATCACGACTAAAAGCACTCATCAGATTCTTGAAGTCTCATTCACCATATTTCTTAAATGGCATCCATCTCCTCCTCCGCTGTTGCCACCGTCAACCGCTCCACCCCTGCCCAAGCTAGCTTGGCAGCTCCATTCACCGGTCTCAAGTCTAACGTCGCTTTCCCAGTTACCAAGAAGGCTAACAATGACTTTTCATCCCTCCCCAGCAACGGTGGAAGAGTGCAATGCATGAAGGTATGGTCGACGAAACCATAATTAGAGATTTTATTTTGATTACAAACATTCGTAAGCATCAAATCAGTTTACATTAATGTTTTATATATAATACGTACAGGTGTGGCCACCAATAGGGTTAAAGAAGTACGAGACCCTTTCATACCTACCACCATTGTCCGACGCTGCATTGTCTAAGGAGATCGACTACCTTCTCCGCAACAAGTGGGTTCCTTGCTTGGAATTCGAGTTGGAGGTCTATTTCTTTTAATCACCTTTTCTTAATTTTATTTACTAATTGATTAATATAAACAAAACAAAATTAATCGTAAAGTGAGTAAATATTTATATTTGTGGTGTGTATATATAATAGCATGGATTTGTTTACCGTGAGCACCACCATTCCCCCGGATACTATGATGGAAGATACTGGACAATGTGGAAGTTGCCTATGTTCGGGTGCACTGACTCAGCTCAAGTCATGAAGGAGGTCGAAGAGTGCAAGAAGGAGTACCCCAACGCCTTCATCCGTGTTATCGGATTCGACAATGTTCGTCAAGTGCAATGTATCAGTTTCATTGTCTCCAAGCCCCCAGGCGTTCTCTAAGCACCAAAACCAACCTTCTTGCCTAGGATGCACCAAAATTGATCAGTATCCTAAGGCTTTTTAAGGCCATGTTTAATTTGTGTGGGGTTGGGTTAGACATTGAAAGATAGAAACTTGGAGTTGGCGCCAAGATTGAGTGGTGTGAGGCTTTTCAAAACCAATCTGGCTTCAAGATTTCTTGATTGTTATATATTTATCATATAAATTGAATTTTACAACATATATCGCTATAAATAGAACCCTTTGTGGTGCTAAAGACATGCATGCCGTATACGTTTTAATTCATGTCATTTGTTAAATGATATATGTTTGTCATGTTTAATTAGAATTTGTTAATTAATCAGGACATGATTCATGACTGATACTTGTCAATCATGAAGTCGGGTGAGCGAGTAGAAGGATTACTTAATTTACTATAATAAGCATTAATAAGAACAATTTTTGCACCCCCAAAAAACTAATAATATCTGAAAAAACTATTGTTGGGGTTTTTTTTTTTGTTTTTTTTTGTTAAAATAAGTTTTTTTAATAGCTTGTTAGTAAGCTTTGACTTTAGCTTTTTCACAATTTGGTGGGTCCATAACTTTTTTATCAATTAGAAACTGACAATTAAAGAATAGTACACATTTAAGTTTTTTTTTGAACCGGTAATAATTGATATATATTAATGGAACTAACCCCATTAGGAAGTAGCTAGTAGAGAACAATGTTTTACAATAAATCAACAAAATAAAAGGGAAAATTTTCATACTCTCCAATCTAAACTATCATTTTCTCCCATATAGTTAACCCACACGTATGTCAATGACTTTACATCAGCCACTATCCTCTCCGACTTCCTGACAATTTTTTTAAAAATCCTATCATTCCGGGCAATCCATAAACACCATATGGTCCCATATAAGATCGCAGTTAATCTACATCTCTTCTTTGGACAATTGTCCCATGTAGATGCATACTTTATGATGTCAAAAACTGAATGAAAATCCATCTCTGGTAGTCCACACAAGTGAAGAACCATCCAAAATACTTCCCTCTCCAATGAACATGTTGCAAGGATATGGTCACCTGGTTCTTCTGTCAAATTGCAAGCACCACAAACACAGTTGAATCCATTGTAACAACACCTCTGCTTTCGAGTGCTTCAGCTGAAGGAATCTGATTTGGTTTCGCTCTTCAGATAAAGCCCAGAACTTTTAATGGGATCCGCTAAATCCACGGGAAGATCCTATCACATACCGGGAAGGATGCTCTTTCAATCCTGTCTCGAAGGGCTGCCACACAGAATTGTCAATCTCTATCAAAGGAAGAAACCCATGTACCACTAGCCTCTACATGATGCATTACGTTCCCGAATGAAATATTTATTTTTTCTAACTTTTTTATGCTTTTTACTATATTATTCCACACACTGCTCCAAAGATTTTTTTGCTCCAAACCTATTATTTACACCCACCAATTTATGCAGTCCATTGATAATTTGGACCCATAAAGAGTTGGGTTCGTTTTTCAGCCTCCATAATCACTTAGTTAGAAATGCCAAATTTAGGGATCGGATAGAACCAATACCCATACCACCAACCGCTCTTGAGGATATAACATTTTCCCAGGCCACCCATTTTATTCTATTCTTGTAATTAGGACCACCCCAAATGATCTGTCTATGAATTTTCTCCAATGATCTTATGACTCCATTCGGGGCCTAAGCTATCAATTGCGCGCTATAGCGGCGCTATAGCGTTTTGCGGAGGTCAGGAACCGCTATTTTCAACTTAGCGTTTTCATTTCGCAGTACCGCTATTAGCGGCGCTATTCACCGCTATTTCAATAACCGCTATAGCGGCGCTATGGGCGCTATTCAATTTTCGTTCACATTTAGGGTCATTTGTTACTTTGTCAATGAAAAACTAGTTTTACTGATCTCACTACACTTTCATTTTAAAATGCCCAAACAACTAACATAATTAAAAGCATTCAAAGCAACTACGTCTACCGACAACTCTTTTTCTCATCTTTTTCTGTACTCACGACGACTTGAGCTGCTATGGTCGGACTCCATTAATGCTTTTTGTAAATCGAACCACACCTATGAGGCTACGACTTGGGACTTAACTCTTTATATCAACCATGACCTACTAATACGATATTGAATACGGGCAATACAATTAATCTCTATTTGACACTTTGACACTACGTAGTTTCCTTATTACCAAAATAGAATATTATGTTATGTTTTTATATAACTTTTTAGGTTTATGATCTTAATTATATATAAACTTATAGTATTAATATTCAAATATATATAACTTCTATATAAATATAATATAAAATTATAAATTATACATAATATTAAAAAAACGCTATATCACCGCAATACCACCGCGATAACCGCGATCTCAAATAGCGGCATGTGACCGCTATTGAAATTTTGACCGCGATAACTGTATAGTTCGGGGCACCAAAGATAAATAGGAAGAATGTAGGTAGGTTCCCCAATACTGATTTGGCAAGAGTAATTCTTCCACCGAGACTGAGGGTTTTGGCCTTCCAAATTGAAAGTTTAGACTTCAATTTATCCACAATTGTGTTCCATGAGGCTTCAATTTAAGTAACTTGAAAACGTTGTCCTAATGAAGAGACAAATCAAGCTTTTTCTTTTTAATTACTTTTCCCTTGAAAAAACTCTAACAAAGAGCACTCTTTTGTTAATGTTCTAACCGGTCCTGTCGGTGTAAGTTAGTGTTCATTTAATCTTCTTATGATATCTTTTAGAACATTTCAAGTGTATATTCATCATTGCATTAATCATTCGAAAATGAATGTTTTGCAACTAGAATATACTATTTTCTTTAGATAAAAATCTTGAAATTTCCAAAATAATGCTCATCTAGCGTGCATATCAAGAGGCGGGACTTCAACATATGATTTGGGGCTGAAAATATAATATTTTTAAAAATTGGTGAGCAGGAGCATAACTAAAATTTTATATTTTTAGTTTAATATATATATATATATATATATATATATATATATATATATATATATATATATATATATATATATATATATATATATTAAAAATATAGTGTGGGGTCATAGTCCCCGCTAGTCCTAATAAAGCTCCGCCATGCATATGAAGAAATACAATAGCATTGAGCTCATAAGGACAAAAAGAAGCATATAGAATTTTAAGGAATTTTAATTTCTTTGATATATTTTTTTTCTCTTTGAGCACGCATAATATATTAATGTCTAGTTGTAATCTTTTTTTTATGATAGACTTCGTATGATATTTTGAGATTATTTTTAGTTAAAACTCATGATGCTACGTTTATAATTTCTATCATGACATGATTATCAAAAATGATTAGTCGTCATTGCCTTAGAATTTTTGGTTGTGAGAAGTTGAAATTCATTTATCATCTGTGATCCTGTTCATCTTTGGTTTTCTAAAGCAGCACCAATTATTATTATTCTCTTGGAATGAAACTCAAATGGGATTTAAATTTCTTTTTACACACCATCCTATTTCCTCCCTAGTACACATCACTATACCTTGACCTATGTTTTCCTCTTTGTTCACCAATCTAATATTACAGAATATAATAGAAGCCTCACAAAAAAATAATGCATTAGAAAAATGTCACGTGCTTCTTTTGGCTGTTAAGAAGCCACACAAATTTATCATCATCGCTTCACCAAAGTAACACCATCGTTGTCACCATTATGTAACAGAAATCGAAGGCCCCCTCAACCATACCACGCCTCATGGAAAACCTTCATCGATCTCGTTTTCATAATCTTCAGGATCACACAAAAAGCCGCCATCGATCCAGCCCTAATCTGAGATCACCATTGCCGGTGCACCACAAGACCTTGATGAGCCGCCACCGTTGATTTATCGACGCACCTAAGAACCATTATCAGATCAACAAGGCCACAAGTTTTTTTTTTTTTTACTAAAATCATTCTTTACCTTTTTCAATTTTAGCAAGGTTAAATCACCATCCTCTTATGGTTCAAGGTTAAATCACCATCCTCTTATGGTTCCAGGTAACCATTCGATAAATTATCATTGCTTTATTCCTAAAAAAAAATGCTCCCTTGTTGCCTATATGGTTCGAGGTAATTATACTTCTAATTATCATTGGAATTTCTAGTTGTGGTAAATCTTGAATTAATGAGATGTCCCTGTATCAATTTCATATAGCTAGAGGTGGTAGTGTTTTTCATTCCTACACACCTTATGTTCAACAAAATGCGTCTCTTGAGCACAATTCAAATCTAGATATTCTTTCATTGGATAGTATATAGTAATACAAATCCTTGATTCCCCAAATCGTTCAACTTCTTTTCCAAAACTTTAGCTTTGTTATTTATTTTTATATGTATATAAAATGAACACGTTATATAATAAGAATATTGTTACACATATAAAAAAAAAGGGAAATATTGTCGGGTAAATACAAAGCTACAAGTCTTTTTTTATAACTTCATAGGTGAGTAAATATTTCAACACCTATTTGATAATTTGCCTCAAAGAGAGATCTGGAATGGCTGTATTGATTATGTCATCCACTCTTTGATAATTTGCCTCAAAGAGAGATTTGAATTGTGATTTTTGTTATACTATTAATTCTTTATTTCTAGTTTTGTAGTTTTGTTTTTTAGTTTATTGAACGCTTTTTCTTATATTAATTTCTTATTTCTCGACCATTCAATTCAAATTAATGGCTTGTTTCCATTTTTTATATTTCTTTTACTTTCTTAGATGTTACATTCCATTTTTTTTGTTTGTTTAACATTCTGAATTTTCATTTTGCATTGATATAATATTGGTGATGGATCATTCTGCTAGAATTGAATCCAATTCTGTGGGAATTGAATCAAGAATTTCAATTCTATTGGAATGGAATCATGATATTTCATCACTAACTGGATTTGGTTTCAAAGATTTGTACAAAAGAATTACTTTTTTTTATTTTCCATTTGCTAATGTATTATTGGGTTCTAAACTACAATTGAATTTGGTTTCACAGATGCTTGAAGAACGAACTGCAAAATTGAAAGTGATTATCAGCAACAATATTATTTTAGAATGT